AATATTTATTTTTTAGTTCTCGGCGGACACAACATCTTTGTTTGTATGTGGTGCTGAGGATCGAACCCAGGCCGCACGCATGCCAGGTGAGCGCGCTACCGCTTGAGCCACATCCCCAGCCCCAAGGAAGCCATATGTTGATACTTTCTTGTTTTGAGGTTGTAAAATATTAAAATTAGACATGAAACTATAGATATGTACCTTCCTAACAATCCCATAAATTGATATAAAATGTCAAAATCCAATGAACACATCTAAATGGAATACCTAAAACAACTCAAATAATTCAAAAGAATGCAGGAAAAGAGAACACAGGGACAAAACACAAAGGGACAATTAGAAAACAAATACTAAAATGGCAGATGTAAATCCAAATATTATTAATTACATTAATTACAAATGATCTAAATGTTCCAATTAAAAGAGATTTTCAGATTGGATAAAAACACAAGAGAGCTATGCTGTGTAGAAGAAAACCATTTTAAATATAATGACACAGAACATAAAAGAATAAAAAAATTGCAGGGCGTGGTGCCACACACCTGTAATCCCGCCAACTCAGGAGGCAGAGGCAGCAGAATTGCAAGTTCAAAGCCAGCCTCAGCAACTTATCGAGGACCTAGATAACTTAGCAAGACTCTGTCTCAAAATAAAAAATATAACTGGCTGGGTTATAATATATTTTTTTATATTATATGAGGCTCAGTGGTTAAGCACCCCTGGGTACAACCCATAGTACCCAAAAACATAAAATAAAAAATAAAATGCTTTTTTCTTTCAATACAGGGCATCAAATCTAGGGCCTCGTATATGTTAGGCAAGTGTCCTACCACTGATCTACATTTCCAGGCCACAAATGCTTATTTTGAAAAAGAAGAAGAAAGAAAGAAATCTTTCAAATTAATAATTTACATTCTTGGGCTGGGGTTGTGGCTCAGCAGTAGAGCACTTGCCTAGCATATGCAAGGCCCTGGGTTTGATCCTCAGCACCACATAAAAATAAATAAAATAAAGATATTGTGTCCAACTACAAAAAAATAAATATTTTTTAAAAATGATTTACATTCTCATCTTTCAAAAGATGAGCAAAGCTGGGGATGTAGCTCAGTGGTATAGCACTTGCCTACCATGCATGAGGCCCTGAGTTCTTTAATCTCCAGTATCACCAAGGGGAAAAAAAAAAAAAGATTAATACAAAAAATAGAGTCTGAATGGCCCTAACCACTGAGTAAGTTCAATTTATAGTTTTAAAACTTTCAACAAATAAAATTCTATATAGTTTCATTGGTGAATTCTACCAAATATTTGGAGAAAATTAATACCAATTTTATAAAATCTCATCCAAAATACAAAAGATAAGAGAATACTTCCAAAACAATCTTCTGAGTTCAGTAATACCATGAGCAAAACCAGACAAAAATAGTATAATAAAGAGAGAGAAAAGGAGGGAAGGAGAGAGAAGGAGAGAGAGACTGACTATAGACCAATATCCCCCATGAAAATGTCCTCAATAAAATAGCAAATTGAACCCAGAAATACCTAAAGAAGATAATACATCATAGGCATATGGGGTTCACCTCAAAAAGGCAGATGGTTCCATAGTCAAAAAATGTAAGTTACCATATTAACAGGATGAAAAAAGAAACTACACAACATTTCAATAGATGCAATTACAAAAAAAAAAAAAAACCTGGGCTGGGGATGTAGCTCAAGTGGTAGCACGCTCGCCTGGCATGCGTGCGGCCCAGGTTCGATCCTCAGCACCACATACAAACAAAGATGTGTCCATCGAAAACTAAGAAATAAATTCATTCATTCTCTCTCTCCTCTCTCTCTAAAAAAACAAAACAAAACAAAAACCTGACTAACTTTAATCTCCATTCATGATAAACACTCTCAACAAACTAGAAATAGAAGGGAACTTTTTTAAGCTGACAAAGGACATTAAAAGAAAAAAAAAAAAAAAAAAAAAACTACCCGCAAGTATCATACTTCATGGTGAAAAATTCTAAGACGGGGAACAAGGCAAAGACATCCATCCTTACCATTCATTTAGCGTTGTTCTAGGAGTTGTAGTCAGTGCAACAAAGAAAGAAAAAAAAATACAAACTGGAAGGAAAAAATTAAAAATTCTCTCTACTTATAGGTGACATGATTGTCTATGTAGAATATCTCAATGAATCTACAAAGAAAGCTCCAACAACTAATAAGTTTAGCAAGATTGTAGGATATAAGTTCAAGTTACAAAAATCAATATTATTTATATATACTAGTAATAAACTATTGAAACATTTAAAAATTATTTAATTGCTATTTACAGTTGCACAGAAAATACTTAGATATAAAACTAACATTCTTTTTAAAAAAATACCTTTATTTTATTTATTTATCTATTTTATGTGGTGCTGACGATCAAACCCAGCACCTTGCATGTGCTAGGAGAGCACTCTACCACTGAGCCACAACCCCAGTCCTAGAACTAACATTCTTAACTAACATTTATTTGCAAGATATATATGCTGAAAAATACAAAGGAGGGATGAGAGAAATTTTAAAAATGTAAATGGAGAGACACATTCATGGATCATAGTCTTAATATTGTAAAGATAACAATTTTCCTCATATTTATCAAAATGCAACACAATCTCTTTTTTAAAATACCACCAATATTTTTTAAAATAAAAAATAATGCCATATAAATTACAAAATTTAGATGGAAAAACAAAGGAAATAGAATGGACAAAACAATTTTAGAAAAGAGTAACAAAATTGGAGAATTTATACTACTTGATTCCAAGACTTAATATATAAACTGAATTGATCTATGAAACAAAAGTAAGAGCTCATAAATAGACCTACACAAATATAGTCAAGTGATTTTTGATAGAAGTACAAAAGCAACTCAAAGGAGAAAGGTTAGTGTCTTCAACAAGTGGTGCTAGAACAATCAGACACCTATGTACAATAAACTGAATCTCAACCCATTCCTAACACTTTATAAGAAAAAACTAACAATGAATCATAAACATAAAACATGGAAGTATAAAAGCTCTAGAAGAAAACATGGGAGGAAATCTCTGTGACCTTAAACATGACCAATACAGGGAGATGAAGATAAGTTAGACTTTATCATATTAAAAAAAAATCGTACTCTTAAGAGAATAAGAAGATAATCCACAAAATGGGGAAAATGAAAACTTATGTCTCTGACCAAAGGCTTACATGCAGAATACAAAAAAGAACTCTTAATAAGAAAAAAAAATAACAAATTAGAAAAAAAATAGATAATTTAATTAAAAAAAAAAAACAGTTGAGAAATGGGTAAAGGACCTGGGCACAGTGGTGCATGCCTATAATCCCAGCAGCTCAGGAGGCTGAGGCAGTGGGATTGCAAATTCAAACCCAGCCTCAGCAACTTAGCGAGGCCCTAAGCAACTCAGTGAGATTCTTTCTCTAAATAAAATATAAAAAAGTCTGGGGGGTGTGGCTCAATGGTTGAGCACCCCTGGGTTCAATCCCTGTACCAAAAAGAGAGGGGAGGGGGAAAATAGGTAAAAGATGTGAACATCTGAACACTGCAGTGAATGACACTTACTTTTGTGACTCATCCATAATCTTAAACAGCGTCAGGATAACCTCATCAGTGTAGGACTGGACCAGCAGGTAAAGGATCCTCCTGATGGTGCTTTGGGTGGTGGACTCTGTGATGTGGTACATGTGGAAGTAAATGTACTCGATGATTTCCGACACCTGAAATGATAGGAAAGGAGGTTCTTTCTGAACGCACACCGCCAGTTCGGTGCAGGTACCCGCACAGGGTGTGAGACTGCACACAACATGTACATAGAGTGGAGAGAGGATGTCACTGTCCTGCTGCACTCTGCCCTGGACCACCTGATCCCCTTGACTTTAAGAGGAGCAAATAGCAGCCAAGGAAGGATGACCTTGACCTCGTTTGGAAGCCATGTCATGAAGAATGAAGGAAGAGGCTGAGGGTGAGTGACTTGGAGAAAGGAAGTCAGGGAATAATGTTGCTGCCTTCAAAAATCTAAGGACTATTAAGGAGGAAGGGAAGGGTAGTCCTTGCAGTTTACTGGTGTGTGTCGCAGAGGCAGCTTCATAGTGAAAGGTATGGACCCTGGACTTGACTCACCACACCCCTTGAATTTGAATTTCATCTCTGAACTTACYGGGGAACCTCAGGCTGGGTTTTCATCCTCCCTGCAATTCCTGTCCTCAGAAAATAAGAACAATTTTACCTACCTAAGTGGTTCTGAGTTAACACTTCTAAAGTGGTTGGAATAGTACCTGCCACATAATAGCTGCTCAATAAACTTCCGTTACTAAGGCTCATCGACTCTTTGAGCTGTCCCCATTTCCAAAAGTGAAACCATTACTTCCTCACAAACCTGTTGTAAGGATTAATAAAGTAGCATGTAAATGAGGCTAGCACAGTGCTTGGCACCTCGTATTAGTGAAATCTGAATATTAACTGAATTCTTCAAAACTCCAGTAGGCAAACTTAGGACAGGGATGGCAAACTATGGGAGTGCAGATTCCAGTTCACCACAAAATAGAACTTCTTGAAATCAACTCACCTTTATACACATAAATTGATATAGCTGTTGTGGCAAATAGTATGGAAGGGACTCAAAAAAATTAAAAAAATAAGACTACCAGATGGCCCAGCAGTCCTTCTACTGGGTATACAACCAAAGAGAATCCAGTCAATTTGTTGAAGAGACATCTGTACCCCCATGTCCATGGCAACACTATTCCTAATAACCAAGATATGGAAACAACTGTGTGTTTCAACGGAAGAAGGGGTAAAGAAAATGTGGTGTACATATTCCATGGAACATATCCAGTCAACAGAGAAGGAACTTCACCATTTGAACTTCGTGGATGAACTTGGAAGACATTACGCTAAGGGGAAAAAGCCAGACAAACACTACGTTATCTCCCTTACATGTGGAACTCACAGAAGCAGAGAAGAGAATGGTGGTTGCCAGGGGCTGGGGCGGGGGTAGGGGTGGGGGAAAGATGTTGGTCATAGGGAACAAAATTTCATTGAAGAGAAATAAAAGTGCAGTGTATCTTTTATAGAACATGGGGACTAGTTAATAATAATGTATTACATATTAAAAAATGCTAAGGGAATAGATGTTAAATGTTCTCATCCCCTCCCCCCCAAAAAAAGTATGTGAATTAATGGGATTATCTCCAAAGCTCAAGTTCTCATAGATAGTAGGCTATCTGTAGGTAGGTAAACAGCTTGAGTTAGCCATTCTCCAATGTATATATATTAAAACATCATGAGCTGGGCATGGTGCACACACTTGTAATTGCAGCAGTTCAGGGAGATGAGGTAGGAGACTCACAAGTTCAAGGTCAGCCTCAGCAACTTAGAGAGGTCCTAAGCAACTTAGTGAGACCTTGTCTCAAAATAAAAAATAAAATAGTCTGGGGATGTGGCTCAGTGGTTAAATGCCCCTGAGTTCAATTCCAGTATACACCCCCCACAAAAAAATCATGTTGTATACCATAAACATATATAATTTTATCAAATAAAAATAATTAATATTTTTAAAAAATAAGTAGTTGGCAATAAATGAGCTACAATTTAAAGTAATGAGCTTATCGATACTGCATTCAGCAGAGTCTGGCTGCTCATGGGCCAGGGGGCTCTACAARGGATTCCAGGAGTCGGAGTTGACCTGGGGTGTCAACTCTAAGGGCTCATCAGTAATCTGTACTGACTTTAGGCCCGGAAAGTGCACAGGCTGAGATCCAGAAACTGCTAACAGGAACTGCCATGGAGGTGTCATGAGCCGTGGAGAGGTGTGGGTTGGGCCATTTAAATGACAGTGAATCCTCAGTAGAACAGAGGAAAGGAACCAGAGGGTGGGAGGTGAGGAGGGAGGGGGAAGTGCTGGGGAGGGATTATAGTGTGTGTATGTACAAATATGTAATAACAAATCCCGTCATTATTTACAACCATAATGCACCAATTAAAAAAAAAAAGTAGAGAGGGCTGGAAATATAGCTCAGTTGGTAGAGTGCTTGCCTCGTATGTACAAGGCCCTGGGTTTAATCCTCAGTACCACACACACACACAAAAAAAAAAAAAGTGGAAAAAAGAAAACACACATAATGAATGACAATACCTCCATCAGTCCCTAAGATTGTTTTAAATCTCAGTAAAACAAAGGGGTCTTTTTATTTCACTTCATATTCATGTAAGTGTCTCTAAGTTTACACACACACACAACACACACACACACACACACACACACACACACGTGGTCCCTTATGTAATATTTCAATTTGACGATGGCATGAAAGTGATTTACATTTAGTAGAAGCCGTACTTTGAATGTTGAATGTTCCTCTTTTCCTGAGATAGTGATATGGGAAATGCTACCCTTTCCTGATGCTGGTCAACAGCAGCAAGCTGCAGCCCTCAGCCAGCCAATCAGCCACCAGGTCATAAAGGGACACAACCAACACTCCACAGTGCACTGTGGGGCTAAGCCAGGATATTCTGAATGGATTAAATGCATTTTGGACTTTTAGCATTTTAAATTTATGATGGGCTTATGGGAATATATTCCCATTGTCATTTGAGGAAYACCTGTATATATCTACTCCTTCCTTGACCCTGTATATTCTCCCATCTGAGTGCAGAAGCCATCTACAAACCTAACCCATGAACACTGTYGGGAAGCAGATGGGATGCCTGAGTCCCTCGTGGTCCTAAGAGCTCAAGGAAGTCTTCTGCTTTAACTTTGACTCGATTCTTCCCTTCCTGGTAGAAGTTCAGGCCTGATGGTCACCTCTTGCCACTGAAAAATCCCTTTTGTACAACTGCAAACTAGTGTTCATTTAGTCTTTTCCCCTTTGGGTTAAAGGATTGAGGTTCCTTCAACTCAAGCTGGTAGCAAATAAAACAGACAAAGACCCAAAACAGAACAGAAAGGAAAAATCCTTAAATAGACCTTGAATCATTAAGTCCATCAGAGATGCTACCTTCCCAATTTCTGGAATACTGTACTTCAGGATCATCTTTAACACCTTGGAGGCTGCGAGGATGTCTTGCCTGTTGGTGCTGATCATAGCCTCCAGGGCCACCATGATCACATCAGCTCTCTCCATGGGAGTCAGGTATTTCCTAAAGAACTGAAGGAAAACAGCTGTCTTTTCGTGCCAGGATCTCACTCCGGGATTGCCCCAAAGCCTCTGGCCTCCAGAAAGGCCAGCCAACCAGGGTCCAGTGGAGGTAGACCCTCACCTGTGTCTGGCTATTCTGTGGTGTAAGGCCAAGCTCCAGAATGCCACCCCCTTTGAGTCCCTGGGAAGAAACACTGGTCCAGACAATGTGGTGCAGAAGACAATGCCAAAGGCATTTCTATTTTGAATTTGGAATGCAATTGGTAAACAAGTCTATAGGAAATGAATTCTGACATCTGGGGAGTTTACCCAAGCAAAGATAACTCTTACCTAAAGCAACCAGGCCTCTTGTCTCTGATTCTACACATCCATGTGAAGGTCATTTTCACCCAAACAATAGTGGTCCCAATTAACTCTGTGCCTGGTTCTATTGCCGGGAGCTGAGAGTGACTAAGAACAGGACACAGATGCCTTTGCCCTCCAGGGATTGAGCATCAGTCAGGACGAGCAAAAGAGGCAGTTTCAGGGCAGTGTGAGARATGGGGGGCACTGAAGCTAGACGGAGCAGGTTAGAGAAGGTTTCCTGGAGTCCATATCAGTGGGGAAAGTTCCAGACAGAGGGAACAGAATGTGCAAAGGGGTTGTATGGAAAGGAAACCTATCCAACTACTGTGTCCTTCTCAGGAACCTGGGCCAGGTGGAGAAGGAGAATTGAGACAGGATGAGGCAGGACGGTTAAAGCAGGCACCAGTTCAGGAGGAATGTCAGACTTTAGTAAGAACGATAGAAGTTAGTGCACAGTCCGAGGGGAATAACATGATGCTGTTTGTATTTTAGAAATAGTTTTCTGACTGTAGCATAGGAAATGGTGTGATGGGGCGAGGCTGGAAACAGAGCAATCGGCAATGACCCAGGCAAGAGATGCAGGTGGACTGAATCAGAATAGCCAGGGTGCGGCTGGGCAGAGGGAATAGATTTGAGAGCTGTGCAGGAGGCAGATCTGGACATAGAGAGCCCGAGAGGAGAGAACAAAGGACTGTTCTCCTGGATTTCTGGCTGGAATGACTTGAATGACTGAACCTGAGGACATTGTACCTAAGACAATCAATACACCCTTGCTGAGGAACAGAGCTAAAGCCAGGCCACAAGTCAAGACACTTGGAGACAATCTGCAGGTGGAATCTGCCAGGTTGATGATGCTTTTTTTTTTTTTTTTTTTTTTTTTGGTACCCAGGATTGAACCCAGGGGCACTTAAACCCTGAGCCACATCCCCAGGCCTTTTTTTATATTTCACTTAGAAACAGGGTCTCACTGAGTTGATTAGGGCCTCGCTAAGTTGCTGAGGCTGGCTTTGAACTCATGATCCTCCTGCCTCAGCCTCCGGAGCCACTGGGATTACAGGCATGAACCATGGCGCCCTTCAGAGATAATGCTTCTTTTTAAAAACTCGACTTATGACCTCAAACTTCAGTCGACTCTAGGGCAGCTAGGGGACTGGGCCTTATGCCTCCAGCCTGTCTGTGAGAACTGTTCTCACTGTCTGTGAGAACTTGAACTTTGGGCGGACACTCCCATCTGTGGGGGATGACTCCTCAGCGGCCCACCCAGGCTCTCTGTAAGCTCTCCCCAAGACTCCCGTTCCTTGTGGACATGTCCCTCCTAAGCATCCCATGCAGAGCAGAAAGTGAAGATTACCAAGGTGAGGTCCTGCAGGTTGGTCATCCACTCCCCACGGAAATTCTTCTGTAARTCCCTCAGGACAATCTCTATCTTCTGCTTTACACCTTCAATCAAAAATGGCAATTAAGGGGGGCAGTCCCTTAACAGGGAAAAAGCAAGACAAGCTCCCCTGTTGTGCCTACAAACCTCAGAGAGAGGAACAGAGTTAAATGGGGGAAATAACATTTGTYCAACACAATGAGAGAGTTCCCTAGCACCAGGCGGTGGGTGGAGGGAGAAGGTGGCTGGGGACTCAATGTGGTCCACTCTCAGCCRCTGTCCCTGCACATGCCGGCATGTGGACCGCTCCCACTCCCATGTGCTGAGCAAAGTGCTCCCCTACTGAATCACAAGAAGCCAGGTCCTGAAACTCTTTTGGGGAGATTTTTGCAAATTCCCTTGGCACTTCCGTGTATGTATCTGTATCTCTAGCATTCGTAGGGCAGACAGGGGCTAGACTAAGGATCCCTAAATTTGTTCCTTGAGAAAGGGTGCTTATTTTCTGAATCTCTTGCCTAGCAGTAGGGATGAGACAACCAGGAAATTCTGAGAATCCAAGTAGGTCCCATAGGCGGCTGGCTGCAAGTTTAGGACATCAGCAATAGGACTGAAGCTCATCCAGATAGTTTCCAGATCTACTTRTAATGGCTTCCTGGTCTCAGGGCCATGTGGCATATTTACTCCAACACCGCTGCAAGAGGGAACTGCCTTTCGCCCGGTGCCTGATGGAACACGGGCACACGCTCAGCAGGGCTTGCTGGCTCTTGTTACTCAGTGGATCCCCACAGCTGCAGTCAGGTGGCTTACCTCTCTGAAGCACAAGGATTTTGAACAAGTAATGCAAGGCCTCCGACGCCTCCATGCTGATCTCTTGGTTGGAGTTCACGCACATGAGGCCCAGGATGCCCATCAGCTTCCCRCTCATGGAGAACAGCGTCATATGCTGCCAGGGAGAAGAAACTGGTTACCTCCCCACCATCCAGAAAGAAGCCTCTCCCTACCAGGACCCACCCAGCCTACCTTCCCCTCCTCATCACTAATCCATTCACTTGCATGTGCGCCCTCCCCTCCCCAGCTCCACACTCTGTCCTGGCCAAGAAAAACCTTTGTAATCAGCACCCAGGTAAGGGACAGCCAGAGGTCCAAGCGCATTAGTCAATGAGCATCTGGGGCCCCAAACCAGCTATCTAGGTCAAGGTCCCCCACAAGGCCAAGATGTGGCTGGTTAAGTGGGCTCAGGGCAAACCAGACAAAGAAGTGACTTGTTTCACTGTAATAGAAAAGGCACTAATGCAAAAAAAAAAAAAAAAAAAATGGCACGAGGCACTCTGACTGCCAGCTCTCTGGTTACCCCCTGATGAGCCCTGGGCTCAATCAGGTGCCACACAGGCAGAGAAGCAGGGCCCCCTGTGTCTGCCTCATACCCTACTCCAAGCACTCACCAACACTTCAGGGAAATTGCAAATAAATCTTTGCAACCGGGAAATAGTGCCCAAGGCCCGGGTCTGTTCGTGCACTTTGTCTGACTGTGTTACCCAAGGTAGGATGATCTGAATAGGAACAAAGAGACCGGTCAACATTTCCATGGGAGTGCTGCTCCCTGCCTTCCTTGTCTTGAGACCACATCCATGACTGCCAAAAGACAAAGGGAGCTGTGGCAGGTACAAGAGTGCCCAGACCCATGAACTTGGCAAAGCAAGGGTATGTTTAAGGGTCTCTGGCACTTCACCATCACCTTCTGAGTCTCCTCCTACAGGGATGTTTAAAAACAGCCACACCTTCAAGGTCGAATTACAAAGCAGAGTGAGAGGGGAAAAGATGGGGAGGTGGTGTTCTCTTGGAAGCATACCACCCCACCTACTGGGCCAGGGGCAGGAGTGGGGTGGTCTCTGAAGGGTAAGATTCAGAGTCACAAGTTTTTTGGACACTAATAACAATAGAGACAGAGGTAAATATTTTATAGATAGTAACTTGCTTGGTGCAAACTTTTGGAAAGGTGTGTCCTGTATCATAGCTGCATGACAGGGGCCTTTCTCCCAGCCATGGATGTTCAYAGACCAAAAGAAAGAGAAAGGAGAAGAAGAAGAGGAGGAAGAAGAAGAAGAAGAAAGAGGGGGAGGGTAGGGGAAAGAGGAAGAAAAAAGCGAAAGTAAAGTGAACCGCCATTCATACCAAACATCCAATAAAAAATTAATTCAGAATTAATCACAGRTGCTAATTTAAGGTCTAAAATTACAAGCTTCTAGAAGAAAAGAGACCTTAGATAAGGCAAGTTCTCTTGAGATAACTTAGATAAGGCAAAAATTTATTAGCTAACACCTCAAAATCATAACCATATAAGAAAAAAATAACAATATCAGCTTCATCTAAATGAAGATGGAGCCGGGCACACTGGTGCATACCTGTAATCCCTGCAGCTCAGGAGACTGAGGCAGGAGGATCACGAGTTCAAAGCCAGCCTCAGCAACTTAGTGAGGCCCTAAACAACTCAGCAAGACCCTGTCTCTAAATAAAATATAAAAAGGGCTTGGGGATGTGCATAGCGCTTAAGTGCCCCCGGGTTCAATCCCTGGTACCAAAAATTAAAAGAAGGGCTGCTTTTCGAAGGGCAGTTAAGCAAAGAAGGCAAGCCACAAAATGGGAAGGAATGTCTGCAAATCACATATCAGACAAAAGATTTACGTCCAGAATACATAAAGAACTTTCAAAATTCAAACATTAAAAACAACCCAGTAAGTGCTGGGGATACGGCTCAAGCAGTAACGCGCTCGCCTGGCATGCACGAGGCGCTGGGTTCGATCCTCATAAAATAAAATAAAAAAAAAAAAAAAAAGAGAGAGAGATGTTGTATCCGCGAAAACTGAAAAAAAAAAAAAAAAAAAAAAAAAAACAGGAGAGAGCCCACCATGGTAGCACTTGCCTATTGTCCCAGGCTGAGGTGGGAGGATCCCTAGAATCTAGCTAGGAGTTAGAGACCAGTCTGGGCAACATAGCAAGACCCCATCTCAAAATACAAACAAGTCAACAGAACACAAAGAGATACTAATATGCATCAGGGCCATGTTCAGTTGGGTACTCCCATGATTCCAGCAGATAGGGAGACTGAGGCAAGAGTATCACAAGTTCACAGCTAGTCTTGACAATTTAGTAAGACTCTGTCTCAAAATAAAAAAAAAAAAAGTCTGAGAATGTGGCTCATTGGCTAAGAATCCCTGGGTTCTGTACTATTAAAAAAAAAAAAAGGAATGAACTCTTTTTAAAAAAAATACTTTTTTGTTGCAAATACCTTTATTTTATTTGTTTATTTATTTTTTATGCGGTGCCAGGTATCAAACCCAGTGCCTCACTCATGCTAGGCAAGTGCTCTACCACTGAACCACAATCCCACCCACTCCCACTCACCCCCTGGAACCAACTCTTTTTTTTATAATTTTTTTTTTTAGAGAGAGAGAATTTTAATATTTATTTTTTAGTTTTCGGCAGACACAACATCTTTGTATGTGGTGCCGAGAATCCAACCCGGGTCGCACGCATGCCAGGCAAGCRCACTACGGCTTGAGCCACATCCCCAGCCCGTGGAACCAACTCTTGATACACACAACAAGATGGATAAATCTCAAGCACGTTATGAGATGAAAATGAAAGAAGACAGATTCAAGAGGCTACATCCTGTATAATTCTATTCAGAGGCTTTTATAGAAAGGCAAAACTACAGAGACAAGACAGAGGCTGAGGTTAGGGAATTGACTACAAAAAGTCTTGGGAGCCAGGTGCTATGGAACTCTCCTATAATCCTGTCAACCCAGGAGGCTGAGGCAAGAAGATTGCAAATTTGAGACCAGCCTGGGCAATTTAGCAAGACCTTGATACAAAACAAAATGGTAGAGTGCCCCTGGGTTCAATCCCTGGTACAAAAAAAAAAAAAAAAGTCATGAGGGATTCAGGGGTGCTTTACAGCTTGATTATGGTTGTGGTTACATGACTATATTTCTCAAAATCTGCAGAATTCCCACACTGAAAAAAGATTATTATTATTATACTGGGTGTAAATTAAAAGATGAAAAAATGAAGGTCATGGGCTGGGGCTGTAGCTCAGTGGCAGAGCACTTGCCTAGCTCGTGTGAGGCACTGGGTTTGATCCTTAGCAACACATTAAAAAAAAATAAATAAACAATAAAATAAAGGCATGTTGTCCATCTACAAATACAGGAAAAAAAAATTTTTTAATGAAGGTCCTTAGGGAACAAAAATATGTAGCCCTCAAATATTTTGCAAAAATGACCCTCTTTCTAATCCTGCCATGCAAAATCAACCATGAAACAAATGATATCATATTATGCTATTATGTAATTTTGTAGAAAAAAAATTATGTCTATAATACATATGTACTTGATTTTTTTAAAAGAATTACCTCAAAGTAGTGAATATAATTCAATTCAAATTTGGCTATATATGAAAATTATCTATTTCATCATTTAAATTTCATTTATCAAGATAAATCTATTTCCCCCAATATTTTCTTTGAAATTTTAGAAATGGTTTCATGTGGTTCTTTTTTTTTTTTTTCCTTCCCTTCCAGTGCTAGGGATCAAACCCAGGGTCTCACACATGTCATGCAAGTGTTCTACCACTGAGCAACACCTCCATGTTTCAAGGGCTGCTTTTGCAGGGTACCATTTCTCTCTGGAGACTGAGAACCTCAATAATGGGTCCCTTGAGGACCCCACCCTGACCAGGACCGGAGCTCAGCATCTCCATCCCCCAGGAACTCCAAGAATAACAGAGCACTTGTTATTACACTTGCAGGAATGGTTGCCTAGGAAGCACAAAAATGCTTCTCAACAAATATACCAGAAATGATGCATTCCAAAGACTATATCACTCACCCAAATATAGATCAATTCCCCCTCTGGATACAACTCTGGTCAAGGTCTTTTTGTAAGATAGCTGGAGAGTCTTGTCTTTTTATTTGTAGTCACATGTAATGTTTTATGCAAAATTACTTTATCCTAATTGGTTAYCATCTTGTTCACAAAAATTGGTTTCCAATGACTCTTGACTATTTCTCCAACTCAAACTCACCCTCAGGAGATGGTGACTTGTGATAACTAAGAGCATTTGAAAAGATCTAAAGACAGTTAAAGAAGAGCTTGGTACTTTGTGTTCCCTGGAGACACTACACTAAAAAAATAGCTCGGATCTAGGAGGTAGCCAGGATCGGTGAGCACTGAGGTCTTTTCCATGGGGCAGTTACAGGTACTGCACTGGCGGGGGGGTGGGGCATGGGGATGGTGGGGACAGACGTAACGAGACATTAAAAAAGATTAAAGCCCAGCAAGGATATAAATGGTATAACTAGTAAAGTTCCAGTGCACCCAATTCTGGAGGGAAACAGGTCCTCATCCTGGTGACTGTGGTTCTCAAAACACCATCCTCAGAACAGTGCCTTGAGGGGAGACAGAGGAATTAGTCCTCAAGCCACACTTGTGCATGCTGAGGTTTGAGAAGGTATGATCTTTGGACTAGAGGGACACCCAGACTCTCATCATATTCCTCTCTTTTGCTCTCAAGCACACAGTCCTAGAAACAACATAGGATTCTGGTTTGCCCTGTTTCGAAAGCCACTTACCTCCAGGAAGTTTTGCAATATGAGCATGTCAGGCTTCATATTGTCCATCACCAGAGCTTGCAACATGTCATCTAAGGCCTGGACAGTCTGACAAATGAGGAGACATGGGTATGCACAGGAGGAAGGAAGAGGGTGCCATCTCACCTTTGCACCCCAGGGACGTTCTCACACCCAGTTACTCTCTCATCTTCCCTGACGTTGGCCTTTCTTGGCCCCACTGAAGACAAGACCAGGCCCAGCCTACATGGTAGGCCAAATAGTGAAATGTAGGCAKTGGGCAGGCCTCCCCGACAGACAGCCCCCATAGGATTCTTACCATTAGAGACCCCTTCTGTTAGATTGAGTTACTTCTGWTTTTAAAACCAGAAATCCTTGGGAAGATTTGGCAGTCTACCGGCCAGTTATGCTATAGAATCCTGGGTTTTATTATCAGACTGTCTCCTCCTAAGACGGAGGATGTCATGTGAGCTCTTGTGAGAGAGAACGTGGCTAGCATGGGATCCCAGGCCACTCCCTGGGAAGAACCGARGATAAGACAGGCAGCCCTTGATCTGAGCAGCATTAGCACCATGCCGCCATGAGCTCTATGTCAGGAAGACCAGGGAGCTAAGAGTGCAGGAGGTGACCACAAAGACAGCACCCCTCATGGACATCTCCAGCAGGAGGCCATGGTGGGGATTACCTGGAGGTAGAGACTAGCACTCTCCTTTCGGTCTAAGCTAGGCATGATGAGTGGCAAAGGGAACACCCTGGAGATGCAAGCATTGGCCAGGTCCAGCTTCTGGGATAAGTAGAATGACGGATTCAGCTGGCTGGTGGGAGAGGTGGGGAAAGACAAGGTCACGATCCTGTCAGAKGCTGGGTCATGTCTGCAGGACCCTCTGGGGAAACCTACTCTGTGGCTCTCTCTGAGGTACAGGAAAAGAGTGGACTACTTTTCAATGATCCCCTTATCAGGAAAGAAGGGTCCTGGTTGTTGGGGACATCCCTAGACTGTCCTCATATAGTAAAATCAAAGAACAGTCCCACCATCCCCAAAGGCCAGCCAAAGTGGTAACCGTGGGGCCCTGCCACCCACGGCCCCAAAATCAATTTCCCAAGACTTGTCCTTCTTCCCAATCCAAACGTTCTCAACATCAGAGCCCTCKGGGCCATGACAGAGTGACAGCAGGGGAGGAACCTCAAGGCCACAGTGCAGAGCATTGCTTTCTGACGCACGAAGTTGTCCAAGGTCTCTAGGGGTTCTTCCAGGATCAATGACTAGAAGGGCCAGGAAGAAACAAGCATTCCCCTCAGAGAGGGATACCAGTTGGTGGGCCTGTCCTGTCATCCTCCACCCTGGATGACCAAATCCCAGAAGAGGTAGGGTCCTTCTTACCTCAATTTTCCTGGCCAGGATGTTTTTGGGAAAGTAGTTGTTCATATTGCTGTCTGCCTGGACATGCACAGCACCACTCAAAGTCTCCACAGCACTGAGGAAATTCAGTTTGTCGAACAAGGACTAGGACAGAATATAGAGWCTCCCACCAATAAACCAGTCACCTGCAGCCCTCGGCCCATGCTCTGCCCTCACACCCAGCCCAGACTCATATCTAGTAAGCCARAGGATAGAGTGCACCCCTGATTTCCTCAGCACCGTGTCCCACAGCCTGCACAGGTGCTCACCAATGTCCTGTCTCCTCTGTATCTCTCTGGGGACAGTGGAGCTAGGGGTCTATAAGAAAGATCCATCCTACAGGATGGGAGCTCAAGGCCAGAGCCCCAGCACCTGTGTCTAATGGCCTGGCCATCAAGATTACCCCAGACCAAGAGGCACCGAGGACTGGATTTCAGGAGGCTTCCAAGTCAGGACTAGTCCTCAAAACCCAAGGAAGCAYGAGTCCTCATTTTTTCCTACTCTTGACCTCAATTCTCAAAAAGTTCCAGAGAATTCCTTACCATATTCTCCTGTCCTAGACATTCCTGTATCAACTGATAGGCTTCTTTTTCTGATTCACGCAACCCTGAAAAAGGATGTAGTCAGAGGAGGTTAGCTGATTGTGTCAGGAGGGCTAGGAAGGCAGAGCCATCCTCCCCCAGTCCTTCACCAAGAAGGCTCAGAAACCACCAAGCTGGGATGGGTCCCYGTCCCAGAGCCTGCTTCTCAGGTATGGGCATGCACAGCTCCACTCATGTGACCCTCAGAAGCCAAGGTGAAAGGCACCCAGATGGGGGTTCAAGAGATTTTTTTACATCACACATAGCCAGGGATGAAAGAYTGTGGGGAAGGGACAGAACTTTAAGTCACCCCCCAGTGGTCACAAATTTCTGSGGCTGATGACCTAGACTGGCTTTGAAATTCCTAGTCATGAATGGTCTTAAAACCCTGAGTCAACCTTGGAGCCTCCCTATTCAACTAGGGTGGTATAGCCTAGCAGTGACCATGGCAAAGACACAAAAGGTGGGATGGAGGATAGGAAAAGAGCCTGTCCACCCCAAGTGGAGTCAGAAGAACAAAGGTGACAGCAGTACTGGGACCCAAAGCAACATTGGCAACTGACCTGGATTCACACTGTGGTCCTTCCTCATGACCCAGCAGACAAAGAGCCTCCTGGGATAGGGTTTGAAGCCAAAGCCCAAGGGCTAAACACAACCACTCTAGAATCACACTGCTTTGATACATCAAAGTTCAGCTCTTTGACTTGATTAAACTCTCTCTAGTTTCCTCATCTGAACGTGGGAAAGATGACAGTACCTATTTTGATGTGGAATTAAATACRTCAATGTATGTAAGGAGTGATCCTCAGTGAATTAAATTTCCCCAAGGAGACCAATTAGGAGACTGTGACAGTAACCCAGAGGAGAAATCCATGTGGTTCACACCAGGGATCAGAATTCTGTATCTAATTTGAAGATCGATATGAATAGCTGATTGTGGGAAGCCATTCTYGCACGTGAYTGGGCACCTCCCTGACTGGGTGTGAGGCGTTCTGGCTAAGCTGTGTCAGAACTAATCCCCACCCTTTCTAGGTGCGAGAGCCCATCCATGTGGGGGTGTGACTGACCATTGACCCTGAGACCAATCACTGACCCTGACCTTGGAATGCTGTCCCCCTC